GCTGAACTCCCTCCCTTCCCCAAACCCTGCGTTCCTCAGGCTCCGCCCCCAAAATCTCCATATATGTCCCAAACTTTAGCTGGTGGCAACCCTAAGTATTTAGGAGCTTTCTCACTCGAATCTTAGCACATGGGCTCTTGTCTTTAACTCTTGATGTTCTAATTAATAACAACACTTCAGCTGATAACTGTAGTCTTGGTCCAGCATGGTTAGAGCGTCAGACTGGGAGATCCAGGTTCGAATCCCCACTCTGCCACAGCATCTCACTGGGTGACCTCGGGCCAGTCACACACTCAACCTAACCTAACTCACGGGCTTCTTTGTGAGGATAACATGGAGAGTGGGGGTGGGGGTGGCAAACCACGCTGGGTACCCAACAGAGGGGAAAGTGGGGGATAAAGGAAGTAAATAAATCCGTGTTTTATTACGGCTGTAAAGAATGCAGTATTACGTAAATGAATGGCAAACGCTGCAAAGCGCCCACAGAGACGCCAGGGGGCAGTCACGGGAAGCTGAGCGTGGAATGGTTCCAGTGCACCAATCAGCCAGGGGCAAAGGGAAATACTGGCAGATGTGAGAAGCTCGCTCACTCTTTCGGGCTCTCCCTTCTATGCAAGCGCTAAAGGCACAGGAGGCCCGTTCTGCTGTACAGGGAGCCCACACTGGCCGCTGCCCGGAGCAAGTCAAGGCACCCCCTGTCCTCTCTGGGGTGGGCGGCTGCGGGACTTTGCGGCTCTGCTGTCATTTGTGCTTGGAGCTGCCATGAGGTCTGAGCGCCACCACCTCTAGGTCACTCTTATGGCCGCTTATGCCTCAGGGGTACAGTTGCCAACCTCCAGGGGGTGGCTGGAGATCAGTTCCCCTGGAGAAAAGGGCTACCTTGGAAGGTGGACTCTATGGCATTAATGCCCCATTGAAGCCCCTCCCCTCCCCAGGCTCCACCCTCCAAATGTCCAGGTATTTCCCAAACCAGAGCTGGCAACGCTGTTCAGCGGCCCTGGCAGCACTGGGGGGGGGGGGCCTTTATTTTTGTTTTATGTACATCATTTATACCACATCTTCCTCCCCAGTGGGGAAACAAAGTAGTCAGTTTGGTGTCGTCATGAAGTGCACTGACTCTAATCTGGGAGAACCGGGTTTGGTTCCCCATTCCTCCACTTGCAGCTGCTGGATGACCTTGGGCAAGCCATAGCTCTGGCAGAGCTGTTCTGGAAACAGCAGTTCTCGAAAGAGCTCTCTCAGCCCCACCTACCTCACAGGGTGTCTGTGGTGGGGAGGGGAAGGGAAAGGAGTTTGTAAGACGCTCTGGAACTCCAAGTGAAGGGCAGGATATAAACCCAATCTCTTCTTCTTCTTCTATTCTTCTCCTCCTCCGTTTTATCCTCATCGCAGTCCTGGGCGGTCGGTCAGGCTGAGAGGTGTGACTGGCCCAAGGTCACCCTGCATGGAGCAAGTGTGGGGATTGGAACTTGGCTCTCCCCGATCCTAGTCCAACCAGCACTCTGACCGCTACATCGTCCCTTTTCTTTCCCTCCACGCACGCGTCCAGATGCTCCTGTCTGCATGAACAGCCCCCTGAGAACAGAGACATCGAAGATTCATGAACCCTAAGGTGCGATGAGACCGGCGGCATAAACAAGGTGGTAACGGAAGACCGGAAGGCCTGGCGGGAGCTGGTCCATGGGGTCGCAAAGAGTCGGACTCGACTGTGCGACTGAACAACAAAAAACCCGGAAGAACGGCATTTCTCTTTGGGGCCCTCTTCCGTGCACATCTCAAGAGCACTCGGGTGTTTCCCCCTGCCTGATTTCGCACCCTGTGCACCAAGCGACGTAGTGGCAGTTGAGCAACACAAACAGCTGGTCTCAGCCGTCGGTATTTACTGACTCCTTGAAGGCTCCCAGCCAGCAGACCAAACAGGGTTGTCTGGGGTCATCCAGTGCCTGAGCGTCCGCACCCGCGTCCTTCCTCTAGGCTTGGTTTTTATTCTGATCACTACTTGGTCGCTCGGGGTTTTAAAAAGAAAAGACAGGAGGCTGTTCTGTGTAACTAGATGGTTTTCTAGGTTTCCTCCTTTTCACCATTGGCAAAAAAATAACCAAATATTTAGAAAAGAAGAAGATATTGGATTTATACCCCGCCCCAAAGGAGTCTCAGAGCGGCTCACAATCTCTTTCCCCTTCCCCTCCCCACAACAGACACCCTGTCAGGTCAGTGGGGCTGAGCGAGCTCTTTCCAGAACTGCCCTTGAGAGAACAGTTCCAAGAGAACTTGTGACTGACCCAAGGTCACACCAACAGCTGCTTGTGAAGGAGTGGGGAATCAAACCCACTTCTCCCAGATTAGAGTCCATGCTCCTAACCGCTACACCAAACTGGCTCTCTTTGGTTACCGTTTGGTTATCCCTGCCAGGGATGTCTCTCGACTTGTGGGTCCTTTCTTTGTTCTTAAATATAATTTTAAAAATACAACATATAATTTCAAATAGCTTACTTTCAACTATGGGTGCTTAGGACTGCGGGCTGAGGCACAGTGGGGAATTGGCGTAGTCCCACTCTCAGAGTGGTATAGTGGCAAGAGACTAGGATTTGGGAGACCCAGGTTCGAATCCCCACTCTGCCGTGGAATTTTACTGGGTGACCTTGGGCCAGTCACATACTCTCTGCCTCGCCTACCTCACAGGGTTGTTGTGAGGAATGTATTCTAGCTGTATCTGAAGAAGTGAGCGGTGACTCACAAAAGCTCCTCCCCGGCCACAGATTTA